CTCCTTGTTCACCAAACTAGTTTCCAGTTCCTCTTTGCCACCTCTGGGCTCAAGATCTGATCTCAATTACCATCTTTGTCTCCTTGTCCAGTTTTCTCACCCAAAAACACAGTTCATTAGGAGACCCGTGCCTACTACTGCTCCTTCCCCAGTCTCTCGCATAGTTCCAGCTTCTTCCTCCTCTTCCATAAATAGTCTAAACACTGGTCCTCCACCAAGTCCAGTCATAGCTTTTACCAGATGTCATAACCTGATCTATGACTTAACTTCCTTTTTGCTGTTATACTTCCTACACTCCAGCCAACTGTTTCTTCTCTTGACCTGGAACTCCTCAGGCATGATCTGTAAACTCAGAGCCTGACCAGGACAAAGCTGCCACATCCTAGGACAAAATTGTGAAAAACAGAATCTTTGGAGTTTAAGTTCTTTTTGGAAAAGGGAAGCAATTTTTCACAAAGTTGTTACTAAAGACATGTAAACTGATTTTATGATTTATAGCAACCACTTCAAAATTTAGATATAATTTCACATGGATACTAAAATGCAATTCTCTGCCAAACTTCAAAATCTAGAATGTTTGTACACAAACAAGAAAGAAGCCCAAAGAAAAGGTAACCTGATGACTTAATTATTTTTAGAGGCAGAAGGACCTTCCCCTCCTCCAACCGTGTTCCCAAAAGGAGCTGAATTTAGTTTTAAGAAGTTGGAAAATGTGAAGGACCTGAAGCTAAATCAATGTTATGTAATTCAGCGTGAGGAAGACACCAACGACATGAAATTCCAGAATAATAAATAAATTTAAGCAAGTGGAAATACTATCCTGTGATTCGAAATAAATTAACAATCTTATTAGTGGAAAGACCTACTTATTTTTCCATTTTTTCTTTAAATATTAAAGCTTAATAATGAGATCAAACATTAAACACTAAAAAAAAAGTAAATATTACTTCTTACCCTATCAAAAATTACCACCTTGTTCTGCATCCCTGTGTCTCCTGTGAGGGAGGTTTGTAATCCTCACTCCATATACCCCACTCCAAAACGCTAAGCCTTTTAAAGACAACCTTCATCAGTTCAGATGATAAAAACCATTACAGGCATCAAGAAAAATACGGACAGGAAGTTTTTTTAAAAAATACAGTTTAGAAATTACATTTTGAATTTACCACTCTTTCAAGTTCTACACACAACCACTAACTTTCAGGGTATCTGCAGGCATCAGCCTAATGTTCATGGTAGTCCTATACAAACTTTTCAATTCACAGGGCTTCGAAATATATATCCAAGCAACCTCAAAAGAAAATTATTTCATATGATGAACCCTGTACTGTACACATACCTGACTGCAAGTATATTCACTTATTCCTAAGATGAAATTTGTGTTTTCTGCTCCCTTATGATTTTCCTTTAGGAACCCAGACTCTAAGGGAATGACTCAAAAGGATTTTGTATCCTATACCAAGCCAAGACAAATAACACAAAACTCACTGAAGCTTAGAAGTTGGTCAGGAAGAAAAGTTATTGCTGACTCAACCAAGAATGAAACAATCAAAGAGAAACACAGCAAAGAAATATATTGCCCCATACCTCCATTTCTGGTCTTTCTTAATGCCCCTCTCACTAGATATATAGAAAGATATTTCACTCCTATCAAGACAATATGAAGAAAAAGACTGCTAGCTTGTAGTCACTAGAAGATTGTATCATCATCAGAAGTAGGGTGGCACAGCTTTAAGTATAAATAATTAAAAAAAAAACAACACTAACAAAGTTCTCCCTCTTGGAAGAGCAAAGTTCACACATACCCAGTGATGCTACTTACTAATTCTGACATCTCACCACTGGTAGATAATGCTGTGTACATCAGAGGAGTTGAATGAAAGAAATGCAGGAAAATAAAGAAAATACTGACAGCCAAGGCTAAGACACAGCTTCCTGCACGGGAAGTTACTACAGAATTCACCCAAGACACCGAGCTGTGCAGAACCTTTTCAGGATCACCATTAATCATTCCGCACTTCTAGCTCTTCACCTCCGTAACGGTGGCGTCATCTTCCACCGTTCAAGCTCAGCTCGACTAAACAGCCAAAGTAGCTTCGCTGCTAAAAACAAGCAACAAAAAGCCTCCAGGTAAAATAAAAACCTGCCAATCCTCGGGCAGGGAAAGGAGGCTTTTCCCTTTTAAACAGGCTTTTCACCAGAAGAACTGCAAGCAGAGGAAAAGCATCAGGACCTTGAACTCCCCACGCAGGGCCGCGAAAGGCGGAGGGGTGTTGACAGGAAGGAACCCACGTGCGGGGGGGGGGGGGGGGGGGGGAAGAGGCCCGGCCTCACGGCGCGGCCCCGCCCCGCCCCGCACTCGCAGCTCGGGCCTGGCGCCGGGCCTCCGACGTGGGGGAAGGGAGGGGCGGCGCCGGGCCAGGCCGCCCCTCTGCGCCTCTCCCACGGCGCGCCCCCACCACACAGGGCGTGCGCGACTTTTCCCCGCGCCGGGCGCGGCGTCGCGACGCCTCTGCGGAGAAGGAGGGCGGTTGGCGTCCCGAACAAAGCGGGCGAGCCCAGCCCCGCCTTGCCTCCAGGGCCCAAACAGCCCGGGCGACGGAAAAGGCCGCCGCTCGTCCGCCCGCCGGGAGCGAGGCCCGCGGCCCAGCGCCCACCCGTGGCGGGGCGGAGAGAGGCGGCGGCGGCGATTGGCCGGAGCGCTCCCCCCCGGGAAGGCCGCGGAGGGGGGTGTGTCCCGGTCCGCGCCTGTCCTGGTGCCGCCATCCCCTTACCTGGTGCCCGCCCCCACCGGGCCGGGCCGGGCAGGGCAAGAGGCGCTTCCGCGGAGCGGCGGGAGCGGAGCCGGAGCGCGGAGCTCTCCGCTGAGGGGAACAACCGCCCTGAGCGACGGTTACGGCCGCGCAAAAATCCGCCCCTTCGCCCCGCCCCTTCCCGCCCGCCAAGCGCACCTATTGGCCACGCCGCGCTCTTTGAATCGTGGGTGGCCGCACTCTATTGGCTGTCGCGCGATGGCGCGGTCCTCCCGCCCGAGGGCCGTTGCCTCCCCGCCCCGGTGAGGGGATGAACGGGGCTGCTCAGCCCCCACCCCCCCCCCCCCCAACTCCCCCGGTCGCCGTGAGACGACCCGTGGGGGGTGATAACGGGTGCGAGTGCGGGGGCGAGGAGCGGCTCGGGGAGGGAGAGCGGGGCTGGAAGGCCGCAGTCACGGCCTGAGGCCAGCTACGCCATAGAGGCCCCAGCGGCGGGCAATAAACAAAACGGAGCGTTTTGTATCCAGGGAGCGGTCGTGGTCTCGCCGCCTCAGGCGCCTCTAAACTGCCCGAACAACAGCCCGTGCGCCCAGCGAGGCTGCGCTGCGGGGAAAACACTCTCGAAAAAACAAAAAAAAAACAAAAAACAAACAAACAAACAAACAAAAAAAAAACAGCGGTGCGTGGTTACCACTGTCCTTTTGAGGCAGCTTTTCCAGAAAGGCCATTCAAGTTCCTGGCAGATTTTGAAATCAGGAAGTGTAAGCAATACTGCAGCAGGCAGAAAGAAAATAGGTTGTGAAAAAGTTAACGAGTTGTCACAAGCAGTGAGTTTTAATGTAAGATAGGCTGCTTTCAAGCGTTTGGATCTTAAAAGTTGTTAAATCCTTTAAGCATGAAATACGGATGTGTTTGTATTTGTACAGTCTTTATCGACCTCCCAAACTGTCTAAATTCAGATACAAGCTGAAAAGCCATATTCTGGCCTGATAAAGTTTCCCAAGTCAAAGAAAATTTTTGGAGCACAAGAACACCTTTTTCCAGTACAGAAGACTGGCAATACTGCACAGACACAGCAAAAATCTCAGATTAAAACAAACAAACAAACAAACAAACAATAACAGCAGCACAAAACAAACAAAAAAAAATCCAAAAACCACAAACAAAAACCAACAGACCCAAATAGGGTCTGTGGTAACCATGAACTTAAATTGTCTGAGATTTACTGTTATTTATTTGCTCAGAAATTTGTGAGTTAATTTTTTTCAAGTTTCTAGCTATAATGTTTGGATTAAGAGTATGACAAGCTTTTTACCTAAGTGAATGCAGGAAATGGGCCTTCATATGTGAATTATTTTAAAAAATATATTTTACTATTTATTCTGCCTAGTTTAGCCCAGAACTTTTTAGTTTTCCCAAACAATTTGTTTTGTTTTGTTTTGTATCCCCGCCCCCCTTTTTTATACCAAGTAGGTCAGGTTATGTTTTCTTCATGCATTCATTACATTTTTCACTACCTGATGCAATAAGAGGCATCTAAATGGGATTAAAAATTACTCAGTCAAATCAGTCATGTTTAAGCATAGATGTAAATAAATGCAGTCAGAATAAATTTGTTCTTTAGTTGTGTTAAGGCAATCAGCTTTTATCTGAAAGACATTGGGTAGCTTACTGTGCAAAAGAATGCAACTGAAGCTTCATTTCTGTCTTTAGATAATAAATGTTTTTGGTTCCAGCTAAGATTTTTCTTTATTGCACAGTTTACAATTACAATGTTAAGAACGTTTTCAGTAGATATCTTAGTTACAGCAAGTAATGCTTGGAATAAGCCTGCTTCATTCTGTTGTCAACAGCAGCCTACAATTAATATGGTTAAATATGAAGGTTTTCAGCTGTAATCTCATTTAGAGAATAACGATGCCTTCAGTGTAATGGTGTGGTTTTGGGATTGCTTGTTGAACCTGGACTGGAAAGCTATTGGGCCACTAAGAACTGTTTATTGCAGTTCTGCCAGTGAACCTGTTGATAATTGGTATACATTTGAGAGACTATTTCGGAAATATTTACAGGACTATCACAGGTCAACTATTGAATGGGACAAATGTGAAATCCAGTCAGACCATCACCATCAAAATTATATTACCTGTGCACAGCTGCAAATGTCTATATAAAGGACTCGGAAGCAGAAAAGTTTGCCATTCTACACATAAAGTGTGTCAATCCCACAACATAAAACTGAGAAAAGAATTCTCCAGGCTTTCATTTTAATGATAAATATTAAGCACTACAATATCACATCAACCTGAGAACACTACTACTGTGTCCCCTTAAGATGTTGATCCTTCAAAATTCAACCCTCCATTTTCCTTCTGATTTCAGTAAGAAGTGTAAGAGGGCTCTGGTGCTGGAGCTGGTCCCACCAAGGCTGCCACCTTCCCATCTTCAGTTCCCGTATCTGAAATACTCTCCAGCTGGAAGTAGAAAGAGGAGCAGGGGTTTGGGAAGAAGACATTCAAAAAGCACTGGACAGGGCGTGTTAACTGTGACAAGGCTCTGGGGAATGGTGGAAAACAATACTGATAACCAAAAATGGGTTTATTTTATTCATCCCCAGCAAGAACCAGGAAAAATTGCTTCAGACATAAGTTATGATTCTCAAGTCTCCTTAGGACACACACTCAGCAGTAAAAAGTGCTTGAGTTTAGGAGAAAATATAAAAGAGCTGGCTATGTAAAAATTGAATATGAGTATTATCTGTAGTCTATAAAATCTGAGTGTTGTCAAAGTGGAATTTGAGATTTTCTTCAGGACAGAAGTCTCAGATAGCTCTAATTAACAGCTAGGAAGGCTTCTATAGGCTGTGCTTACTTGCCTGGTGTTATAAACCTAAGTTGTCCCTGGAAGTTCAGTTGCACTGACTGGCCTTGGGAGAACAAGGTGGCTTTACAAAGGACCTCTCTCATAACAGTGAACCCCTCCAAGACTGGAGGCACTGAATTTAGTATCCCAACGTACTAAGTTATCTTCAATTGAATAAAAGATATTTTTAAAAATACTTACAGTTCAGAATTGGTGACCATTTGAGTCCCCTGAATTGTTATTAAAGAGTTTATTGCTGCCTGTGATATGAACTACTGGTATTACTGTGTGTACTGATATTTAATAATCTGGAGATTCGTAACTATGGTTTCTCAATGCCATATGAAAACTCATGTCTCTCAGTAGAGCCTTCAGGTAAATCAAGTCTATGGAACTACATTCGTGTTATATCCAACCTGTCTTCTTGGAATTAACGATCTGCAAACAGTTCCTGAAACATTACATTTTGCTATAAATCCTTTGACCTTTATTTTTCACTGTTACATAATAATGTTTGCATATTCGATGTCTATCTTGCATTTTTTCCATTCCTATTTTTCATTTTACATGAAAATGTTTGTGGCTGACAAGTAAAATAAATCCCATCTCAGAAGAGTTCTCATTCCAAAAGAATTTAAAGACCAAAATATTAACTAAACTTTAATTGATCAGGCAAATAAAGTTCTTATATTGTTTTACGCTGTTTCTGTCCATCTGTTTATCTCTTTTAACGTAAGATTCAGATTTTGATTTTTTAAAATACAAATATTAAGAAAGGACAATTCTGATACCAGTACCTATATTTCTCAGAATTAAACCCACTTGAAATTCACCAAACCATTTATGCAGCAGTAATGGAAAAGTATACAAGTATTTCCAATATTCAGCAAGTACAGCCTTAACACATTGTAGCAGTAAGAGCTGACCATGAACTCCCCTAAATTTGTTTAGGTCTGAAATACTTACAACACTTCTGGTCAAAGTTGGTCTTTTTCAGTCCCACAACTAGATGTAAGAGCCTAGCTGTCCGGGGAACTCCCTCGTATCCGTACCATACCTAGCCAGCGCTGTGCTTAAAGACAAGTATTGTTACTTTGGGGTTATTTTACCATTATTTTTTGTAGATGCTGTAAGAAGGTTGCAAAAAGGAGTCCTCCTGTAAAGTTGCCAACCCAAGAAAGTTGAGAAACGTTATGATAAATGGCTTTAGCAGAGGCTTCAGAGGTGGGTGGGGTAATGAGCTGCTGTTTCCTCTCCTGATTAGCCCTTTGCTTCTGTGAAAGAAAACACCCGTAAGACTCACAGTAAGGTGGGGGTTTTTTATAGTCTATTAAAAAAAGCCATGCATTTATATATACATATACTATATGCATATACTATATAGACTATAATATAAATACACACTATATGCTTTCTCTTTCTCCTTTTCTCTAGTATTATATATGATCAAAGCATGAGAAGAAGCAACCTCCTAGCTGGCAGCTGCCTTCATGACACATGCAGCCAAGAAGTTACCTGCTGTAGCCAAGCAGACGGTGATGAACACAGGCATTGTCTATTTTAGCTCACAAAGCATAACCTGGGAGAAAAGACAAACTGAATTCTGTACATTGACAAAAAACATCTCCTCTCTGCTTTTCAAACTGCCATCGAAAAACTAAGGACAATCCACTTTTTAAAGCTTCTGTGAAGATTGAAGAATGTGAGTGTGCTCAGGCACTTTTGGGGATTGTTTTGATTAGCATATGTAATTTTATTAATATTTTTTCAATGATAGAATGGTTCTTTAAAAAGAAGCAGGAGATTTGGGGTAATTTTATTGAACTAAATCAATAGAGGTTTTGTTTGTACAGGCCTCAGTAAGGCAGGGATTCCACCCTTGACCATAGAAGAGGTTTTTCATTATGTATTAATTTATGATACATTGAATTGGAACTTAAAACTCCCTATAAAGGAACAGCCTGCTAACAAATAGTACGGCTCTGGCTAAATTAAGTTGAGCACCTGCATTCTGGGAATTTTTGCAAAATGTTTATTTTTAGAAACAGCTTTAAAAAAATGCCCAAGGCTATCAACCATGCTGGTCTCAGCAATAAGGAGAGGGATACAGAGACATGCAAACCAACTTCAGTTCTCTAAACAGGAGAAGGAGAAAAAAACATTGAAACTTTGATCTCCACAATAGTGCAACAAGCTTCTTCCTTTCTGTATTGTATGTGAATTTATAAATAAGACTCATTATTGACTAAGGGAAGTTGATGCAAATCTCCAAGCAATGGGTCTTGAGATAAGAGTTTTGGCTACTGTATCTTCTGCTGGGCAGCTTACCTTCCCACTTTTGCAGCACTACTGTTATATTATTCCAGCAGTAAGGACTTGAAACAGTCAATTTTCTGAAAGCTTATAGAAAACACAGACTACAGTATTTCCATGTGTTTGTAAGACGTCAGAGGTATGTGCACTGCAGAATTGTAAATGTTTAAACAGTAAGTGTAATTCTAGAGAAAGATAGAAAACTTTTATTACTTTAAGGTCTGAAGAAAAGCCACTCTTCTCTCCCAGCCACCCCCAGACTCCCAAGCAGTTTCACAGAAGGCTCCTGGCTTTTGAGCCAGTATCCTCCAGTCTTCAGAAAGAGGTTACAGAGCAGAGAGTGACTTCAGCTGACACTGCGCCCATCTGGGATCTCTGCAGGGTGATCGTACAGGGGACAGAGCATACCTTCCCTTGGTTCCTGCATGACAACCTGCCCTGGATAGAGGGAGGACATTCGCCTCGATCCTGTTTACAGCACAGTAATGATGTTACATCCCTAGATCATGAAGGCACTCTGGTACCTGGGAAAAGCAAACAAATAAGCAAAACCCTTGTCACACACAGAACAGGCAGAACCCGAAGGCTTTGAAGTGACAACCCAAACAAGTACACCTGTATACACTTGTGTATCTGTATATACATATATATAAAATATACATACATTTATATGTATATGTATAAAGAGTGAACAAAAACGTTAGCTCTCCAGCCTTAGCTTTGCAACCAGTTCCAGCCTGCATCTGGCAGTATGCACAACTGCCTGCGGTAGCTGAAGCTAATATCTAAGAGGCTTGGAAACGCAGGTGGGAGAGGGCCACACGCTGCTGGTGCTCAGCCAGGCAGGGGCCAGCGGCATGGCTGCAGGCTGGGCCAGGCCAGCAGCCCGCGAGGCCCCGTGTCAAGGTGGAATAGGTCACCCATGGCCAGTCTTCAAAACGGTATTATAAATTCACTGTAATTTTTTAAATTTCATTTTAAAAAGGGAAAACACTGTACTTCTGGGGGTGAAATAATTTGGAAAATATTTGTAACAAATAATGCTAACGCTGGGATATGATGTATTTCTTACCAGAGTTCAGACACCAAAAAGGTTATTTTATTTAATATGGCACTCATCTCTTGTATGTGGTGCTAATGTTTTCCTCACACCTTTCATCCTTTTATTCTAGGAAAAAAAAAAAAAATCTAATTACTGAAACATGCAGGCCCAAACCAGAAGCAATGAAGAAATCAGCTTGATGCATCTCACAAAAGATGAGCTTGGCTTTAGGAGCTGGTATTGCTCCATATCTACTCTCAATTAAATTGACTTCTTCTCTGATTAAACCTGCTCAACTAGTCCTGGGGTTTTTTTGTGTTTTGTTTTGTTTTTTAAATACAGTAATTTAAATGTTAATTAACTCTTTGAACTTCAACAGCTATATTTCTACTAACATGTTAAAATATATACAGGTACTTAATTTTTGCACTGTGTTTTATGAAGATGGGGGACTTAAGGAGATGCTGGCAAGAAACAAAAAAACTGAAAACTTAATTCAGATCTGGCATTCTTTCTTTAAAAAAGATTTCTGAAAATCAAACTAGCATACACGCATCGTTATGCATTTTCAGGAGTATTGGTAATAAGTATCAGAGCAGAGCTTCAATGTGTGATCCTTCCTAAGCATTGTTCATTGCTCGGCTTTTAAAATTCTTGTTACAAAAAATACCCACATAAAGTTAGTTTCATTAGAAACAATTTCGGTTAATGAATCATAACCTTCAGGGCAGAATTTGCATATACAAGCCTACACCACCCTCATTTCCACAAATCTCTCTTACTTTCCTTCCCTACATTTTAAAGTCTATCTATACTCTGGCCATCATTTTATATGTGGACCATTTATAACACAACAACAAATTAATCTCCAGATTCTTGGTTAAGCAGTGAGCAGCTGCCAGCTGGAAGAGAAGAGCTGAAAGACAACAGTAATGTGAGAAGTTTCAGTGAGCCAGTACCTGGAGACAGACAAGTGGCAAAGACAGTCGCATACTTCAAAGTCTTTTCTTTTTCTCTGCCTCTCTCCCCTATTTCTCTCCTGTTCTCCCATTTGCCAGGCAGGACAAGCTGAGCCCAAAACATGAATTATGGGAAACAGACACTATTGTCAGACTTCAAATTTAATTAAAGGAGTAAGGATAATTAAGACTGTTTCTACCCTAAACTATACTAAAAACCGAATTCATAATTAATTCTGGCACTAGGCAGACTGCCAGTTTTCAGATACTTCTTCTATGATAAATTTTAACTGTGGAGTCTTCCTTGGTGTTATTGCAATAGTCATTTGTGGCCGCCATGGGTACCTCTGTAGTTTTCAAGTTTCAGACAGCAGTCGCAGGCATTCCCAAGCAATAAGTGGGTCAGTGTTCCGAAACAAGTGACTTGGATATTAAAAAAAAAAAAGTCTTTCTGTTAGGACCAATTCCCACAAAATGTTTATTTGTTGAGTGCACAAAAGGAAACTACACTTTGTTCTCAAAGAAAGCCGGCGTTGCTGCAGACATAGGTACTTTGGCTTAGAGTGCCGGTAGGGCAATTTGGGTGACACAAATATTTTTCCCAGCCTCTGCAGAGCTGACTAGTCCCAGAGAGCTCCGAGAAGGTTTTTAAGGCCAGAATTGGACCACTGTGCAAATAATGCATTTGGCATTTTCATGGGTAGTCCGTGTCAGAATTTTGGTTTAAGATTCCTTGTTGTTAAATGCAAAACAAAGACACAGTTACCTGATACTGAACTGCATGAAATTGCTTCCCCCCTGCCTGGTAGGGCGGTCTCACTGCCGGAGAAAGCCATTACTTCGCTAGCCAGAAACGCACCTCAGCACCAACCTGACCTGAAAGCACCCTCCCATGCACAAAAACAAAGATGCTTCCTGCTCCTACGTGCTTTGCATTTGTGCCAACAGGCAACATGACTCAGTTTATTTACTTTGAAAGCGTGCCTTGCCTTCAAAATGACTCTGGCTGACCTGCGCTGGATGGATCCCTCCTTCTACGACGGCCAGAGCTGTGGTGGTGCCCAGGCCCACGTGCTGGAAGACCCACGGATCTTAGCAGTGCGTAAAACCGGGCTGCGCTGGACTTTTCTTCCTTTTTTCTCACTTTGTTTCTCTAAGATGAAGCTGCTGTCGTGTAGCTCAGAGGTTACTCCGGCAAAGCACTGGTGTTACAGACACGCAGTCCCACTGAGAACACACAGCATGTGGCAGGAGGACCTCGTGGTGCAAAGGTGATTGGGGAACTGAGTCTGAAAAGCACACCACAGTCTAAAAAATACCCGATTCGCTTCCTTGCTTCTCTGTTCCTTTCCTCTCTGCTAGATATAAAAACACTACTCGGAGCACGTTTCCCCCCGTTGCGACCTTCGCCGATTTTGCTCTGGCCTTTCGGTGTAGCTGCGGTGGTGCAGGGCAGCTGCCTGCACAGCCATTTCCTGGGGTTGGCGGAGGTGCAGCAACCGCCCTGGGTTCGCCTGATGCTCCGGTGCTGAGAACACCACGTGAGCTTTCACCCGAGAGAGGGAGAAAAAATTAAAACCCAGATGGAGTCACTGAGCAGCTACTCATAGCCAAAAATGCCAGGGCTGCTTTTGCAGGCTGAAGCAGATAGGCTCTAGGCAATGCTAAACAGAAACCAGGAGATCATCACTGCCTTGATTCAAGGCTGGGATTTTAAAGCATTTTCAAGTTTGAAGGAGAGATATTTTTTTTCTGTGCAAACAGAAGAGCATAAACCAGCATCAGCTGACATGAAAAGATATTTTTCAATAGCCCTGGTGGCTCACATAGGTTTGGAGTATGGTGGGGTGGCAAAAACTTTCCTATTCGAGGTATCCAGAAATACTTTACAATGTTCAGGCCACTTTTTGGTTTGTAGACAGCTATTGAAGCAGCCTCACTTGCAGTTCCACCTTCCCCCTGCAGCCCTCACTTTAAAAAGGTCTAATTCATAAATGCACAAAATCCAGGGAGGTTCCTCACATTGCTTCACAAGAAAACCTCAGGGTAATGCCTTTCTCTAAATGCTTTCTTACCTGCATATTTACAGTTCAGTGAAGAAACTGCATAGGTCACCCAAAGCATAAACTTTGCCAGTGATTCTGCTGCTCTAGTGTTCACTTGAAACTAAGTTTTGCTTTCAAGTTCAAGATGAGATGATTTCCTCTTCCTGCACACAGCTGCCAACCACTTATTGAGTCTTCTCAAGTGCAGCATGTTTCCTTTGCTGGGAGAGGGGAATTTCTGATTTTCAATGCACCGAGACCCTCTCCACACTCCAGTCTATCCCCCAGTTGCTGTACACAGCCCCTCAGAAGACAAAAAAAATTGCAAAATGCTAACTTGTTTGGCCCTTTTGTATTTATTCAGTTGCTTTGTTCATTAACCCAGCGTGCCTAAACCTTCCTTTCCTTGCCAGAGCAGGCACAGGGAGTGAACATTAGCACTTGACTGCAAAAGGGAGCCCAGCTTCTGGTTTGCTTCCCTCCTCACTCCCCAGTTCTCAATAAATCAGCACCAGCGATTTTCACTGAGTTCCCTTTGCAAAATGAGGGCCCTGCTGGTCTTCAGAGGTGTAATGCCCTATTTCTTTTACCTTATTTTGTTGGCATGGTAGAGCTGGCACATGAGCCTCGCTGTTCTGTTTCAGCTTGCAGTACTGCTTTTCATGTTGCCCTGGCTTTGGCTGGGATAGAGCTAATTTCTTTTTGTTTTTCCTTCGTAGTGGCTAGAGTAGTGCTGTGTTTTGCATTCAGTATATATTTTTATATGAGAAAATTGTGATAATATACTCGTGTATTTAGTCGTTACTAAGAAATCAAGGACTTTTCAACTCCCCATGTCCTAACCGTGTGCAGGTACAAAAGAAGCTGTGAGGGAGCACGGCCAGAGCACCGGACCCAAACTGGTCAATGGAATATTCCATATCATACAATGTCATGCTCAGCATATTGATGAGGGTTCATTGGGAAGCTCACTCTTGCTTCCAGGGTGGTGGTTTTGGGATTCTCTCTTCCCTGGGATCACTAAGCAGGAACAAGCTGTTTTAATTTTATTTCAATTATTAAATTGTTTTTATCTCAACCTACGAGTCTCCTTACCTTTACCCCTCCAATTTTCTCCTCCATCCCCCAGGGTGTGGGAGGATGAGCGGGTGGCCGTGGGCTGTTGGGCTGCCAGCCAGGTTTAAACCCTGACACACATGCATGCAAACAGACAGGGTCTCACAGCTCCCGAAGGGCCGAGAGGAACTCAGTCATACACCAGAGAGAAGTCGTCTTTAACTCCGTAGTTAACAAATGATGCTAAACAAATCAGAGATTAGAGGTTTATAAACATGTAAGAAACTGTGTTTATAACTACATAGGACACTTGTAAGTATGACTTTATATAATTATGTAGGCTATACATTGCACATAACTCAAAATATATAATTAATATAGGATTAATAGCTACACAGTTATGCACAATTAAATAATTTATAATTATGGCATTTGTTATATAAACCCCCATTTATTATATCTATGTAGTATAAATAGTTCAGAAATTTTATAATAACAGTTTTACTTGTTAAAGCCAGCTATGAGCTTTCTCTGCAATTCTGGGAAGTACTTTTTGCTTGAAATCTACACAACGCGGTTAAAATCTAGTTCATAGCTTCAGCACATTCAACATGTAAAAATTTTGCCAATAAGCAAACGTTTCCAGAAACAATGTGTCTGGGCCTTATTGTTTTGCTTCTCAGACAGGAAAAGTATTGTACTGCAGGCATCCTCAGCAGTTGCTCCAGCAAGGGCAATTCTGAGATACAGTCTTCAGCTGTCCTGCTTGTCACAGTAATTTCTCCTAAGATGCTGCCAATTACCCAGTTTGAGAATGTGCCACAGTGCAAGTGTAAAACAAAACAAAGAAAAAAGAAAATGAAAGGGAAGAAATAAGGAAAGGGAAGAAAGGAAAGGGAAGAAAGGAAAGGGAAGAAAGGGAAGGAAGGAAGGAAGGAAGGAAGGAAGGAAGGAAGGAAGGAAGGAAGGAAGGAAGGAAGGAAGGAAGGAAGGAAGGAAGGAAGGAAGGAAGGAAGGAAGGAAGGAAGGAAGGAAGGAAGGAAGGAAGGAAGGAAGGAAGGAGATAGAAAAAGAAGAAAGAAAGAAAAAGAAAAGAAAGAAAAGAAGAGAAAGAAAAGGAAAGAAAGGAAAGAGAAAGAAAGAAAGAAAGAAAGAAAGAAAGAAAGAAAGAAAGAAAGAAAGAAAGAAAGAAAGAAAGAAAGAAAGAAAGAAAGAAAGAAAGAAAGAAAGAAAGAAAGAAAGAAAGAAAGAAAGAAAGAAAGAAAGAAAGAAAGAAAGAAAGAAAGAAAGAAAGAAAGAAAGAAAGAAAGAAAGAAAGAAAGAAAGAAAGAAAGAAAGAAAGAAAGAAAGAAAGAAAGATTTAAAAATAGAAAAAAGGAAAAAAGAAAGAAAGAAAAGCATTTCAAGCTTTTAATTTTTAATCAGTTTTCTTTAGTTACTTCTCTGCACATTTCTTCCATCTCTCCATAGCCCACTGCAAACTTGCCTAACACCTACACTAGTGGCAAAGGAGCAGAGCTGAGCTCTGATGTTGTGCTCTGGGTGGGTGTTGATTCATGTGGGGAGGAAAACAAACCCTCAGCCATTTGTTCAAACCAGATTTCATGCGGGGGGATGGAAGTGCGTGGCTGCCCAGCACGGCGGAGGACATCGGGAGGGAAGCAGGAGTGCTGTGCTGTTCCCAGAGCAGCAGTACTGCAGTGGCACCACAGACAGACAGACAGACTTGTTTCCAACCTAAAGTATCAAGGGGCTTGGATTTGGGACCATCCATCTGGGGCCTGGAAGCCCCACAAGTTAGATATTTTTTTAATACAACCTGTGACCTCTCCATAGAAATACCTTTTAGAGATGTTCTCAAAGAAACTACTGACACTAAGATCATGATGAGCGGCCTCTGGTCTTCACCTGATGGTCTCTGGGGGTTGGTTTACTGCAGGATCATACATATGAGGGGAGGAAAAATGGGGCAAGGCAGAAAGGAGATACTCTACAGTGACTTTTACATCTTTTGCACAAAATACAGCTAGTTTATTCACCGCTGTAGTACTCTTACAGTCTAGTCTATGTAGTCTCATCTAGGATGTATTTGCTCTCTGGTATATATGATACAGAACAAAATAATTTTAAAACATTAGGAGTAAAATTAACAAATACACAGGTCATTAAGGAAGAATCTTTTTTTGGTAATGAGAGCAAGACCTTCACCTAAACTGATGGAAGCTGGAGTCCTTCTTATGCTGGCAAGAAACATGGGAGCATTAACCATGTCTGATAGGACACCAAGGCTGTGGGCTACTCCATGCCTCACTGGTATTACTATAATTTCACATTCCTTTAGAGTACATATTTATTTCAACTGCTGTAGTTTATGCTTGATTGTTCCTGAGCTAGATCCCGACAGCCCCCTCGCCTGTCTACTTTTATGTGCTTACACTGATGTCCTGCCTTGGTGACTGGCTCCCTGTGGATATCAGCTACCCCAGGCTGGGGGGCTTATTTATGGAATGAACAGCCCACACAGTGTTCACAGCGTGAAAGAAAAAGGCATACAGAAGTTATCCTGGCTCCCTTCCTTTCCTTCACTCAAAGTCGCTCTGCTCAACTGTCCCCTTAGGTCGTTCTCTTCTTAAGCCCTCCGTCAGGCGATGGACGATGCAGAGCACTTGCACGTGTGGCTGTCCCATCTGCGTGAGCACATCACCCTGCTCCTTCCCAAAAGGGCGCTGGGTAGCGAGCAACGACAACCAAGTCCCCTCCACAGTCTTCAGCCCAACCAAACCCAAGGACTCTGCAGGATCAGGTTGTTACGGGGCTTTCGCTAGACCAAGCGGAGAGGTTTGCAAGCCCAAACTGTTGGCTCTGAACTGGGAACTCACTGGGCACAGGGGAGGATTTTGAGTTCCAGCTGGGCGGGCATCTTCCCATTGCCACAGCCAGCTCTTCCTCTCCTGTGCTTTCTGAGACCCCTTTGAAAATCTTTCAGGGAGGCAGAAGAAAGAACAACTGTTATGCCACAGTTTACTTGTCCCGGTATCTTGACAAACCCAGGAATTGTTCTGATTA